TTTTCAAGGAATTAAATGTTTTTTTTTATTATTATATTATATTAAAGCTTAATATTTTGATAATAATCATATGTGTTGGACTTTTTAAGAATTTTTTTTATGCTTGTTCTTAATGCATTAAAGTGTTATTATGAGGGATAATAATCATATGTGTTGGGACTTTTCAAGGAATTCATATGTGTTGGATTTCAAAGAATTTTTTTATACTTGTTTTTAATGCATTAAAGTGTTATTATGAGGGTAAGACTTGGGAGTTGGGAGAAGTTAATAAATGCTAAGATTTTTCTTTTTTTTTTTAAATCAAAAAATCAGAAAATTTAGATTGGGAGATTGAAGCTCCCATAAGGCTTGGGGTTAAAAACTCCATTTTGCTTAATATATAGTATATAGTATAGATAGATATAGATAGATTCTTATGTAAAAAATTTATGATTTTATCTCTTATTAATCATATATTATTCCAAATTTTAGTTTTTATCTTTGAGTCATTAAACTTCTAGTCGATGCATATTTAAAAAAACACAAGCTAATATTTTTTACATGATTAAAAAAAATAAAAAATAAAAATAGAATTAAAAAAAATGCAATCGCCTTACAATAAAATAAAAGTAGTTGATAGAGAACAAATGATCAAGAAATTATTTGAGAAAAATAAACAATTCAAATAATTTATCATTTGTTACACCTAAAATTAAAATTAATATTTACTTGAATCGAGAAATTATTTGAGAATAATAAAATACTCGATTAATTTGTTATGTATGATATTTAAAATCTATTTCTCCATATTGATTTATCTCATTTTAACTACTTTTATTAAATTTTAAATCTTAAAATTAATTTATCACCTTCACTAATGGTTGAATTTTTATTTTATTTTATGTTTTTTTATAAAAGTTCAAAAACTTGTTGTAAAAAAAAAAAAGAGTCAAGAAATTACATTTATACTTTGAAAATTTTATGAAAAATAAATAATACTTTCATATATGTTTAATTGGATAAATTAAATTTAGTGCATTTAAGGTTAAGATTAATGTTTATAATGAATGAGTTTGATTTAATATGCATCAATTAAAATTTAATGGCTCAAAGATAAAAATTAAAATTTGAGAATAATATATGATGAAGAAAAGATAAAATAATAATTTTTTTACATATGAATAAATAAATAATGCAAATTGTAGGAATAAAATAAATCCATTTTTTCAATTTAAAAAAAATTAAATAATAAATCCATTACTTAAAATGATAAATTGTATGTTATTTGTGTAGTATAAATTATATTAAATTATTAGAATGTTATTTAACATTAATTTTAGAGAGATTGCTAATTTTTAAGTATTTTATGAATGAAAATTAATTTTTTTTCATTAAATGTTTTAATAATGTCTTAACAATTTAAGGGTTTTATTTAGGAGTTGTTTGGGAAGTGCTAGATTAGTATAATTTTTGTCTTTTTATCAAAAAAATCTGAAATATGAGTTGAGTTTAAAGTGATGTGCTTGATAAGTGATGTGGCTTAAATAAGCTGATTGTAACATAAATAGAATAATGTGTTAAAATAGCATGTACTAGTTTAACACATGCCAGACAACCACTTAACATTGCATGAAATTTAAGAAATTTATTAAATAATGCTAAATTATGTATGAGTCTATGAAAATATATATGTAAAATCTTGAGAGAAGTAAGTATAATTTATTTATGTTGATAATGAATAAATTAGTTTATGGCTATTTTCGTCTTTTCACATGCAAATCAAGATAATATTTTTATATTTAACTAATCTGTTTGTATGAATGGTAACAAGTTAAAAAAAAATTTGATAATAGTTTTAAAGGGAAGGAAAATTAATGTAATTATTAAAATTATAAGAAATGTCGTGTAATTGTAAAAAAAAAATTCAGGGAAGAGAAGGGCAACTTATTACCAAAAAAATTTTAAAAACAAGCCAAGGCTTAGCCATGGGATGTTACCCGGACCCTTAGTGGAAGGATTCTCTCTTTTCTTTCCTAACTTTACTCCATTCTTGCAAAAGTCAAAATTTATTTTAAGAAAATCCAATGATTTAGATGATTTCAAAAAATTATTTTTATTTTTAAATTTTTGTTAATAAAATAATTTGAACCGTTAAATTATTTTTATATGAATCTTAGGCCTCGTTTGGGAACAGGTTAATTTAGTAATTTTTTAGCTATTTAGCTAAAAAGGTAGGTAAAAAAAATTTGTATGTTTGGGGTGACTTTTTAGCTAATTACAAAAAGATGTGCAAAAAGTAGAGAGAAAAGAGAATTTTTGACTTTTTGGTATGAATTGTTAGTTTTTTGACTAATTTAATAACTTTTTGACTAATTAATTAAAATAGCCTCTTGCCAAACGAGGCCTTAATTGCCGCAAGATGAGAATTAAATAGAGCACACAAACAGAGAATCTTTGCTCGGGCTGTTATCCCTCTGTCAGAAGATGAGGATTGATGACGTCAACATGCCGTTGCGACAACGGTAGGATGGTCCCACGTTGTCAGAAACAGTTTCCGGATTTGTTGTGTGCCGTTTTCAAGGAAATTGTTCGCAGCTGGATAATAAGCTGATGTAGTAATCCAACTAAGCCTCCGTTTGGACATCGGATTGATTTTTTAATTTTTTTTAATTATTTTAGTTTAGATTAAAAAGTTTGGTTTAGGAAGAATTTTTTAATTTTTTTAATTTTTTTTTTGAGAGAATAATACAATGATTATGAGTTAAATGTGATGTTTTGTTTGTTATGACTAAAATGATCTATTTTATTTTTTGTGACTATCTTAACCCTAAAATCACTTGTCAAACACCACTTAAGGAGCCAAATAAACTGTGTTGTTCATCAACAACTTTGATTTGGCTAGTTAAGAGTTTGGTTTGATTCATTTAATAAATTAGTTTAATTCGAGTTTGAAAATTAAACTTATTTAACAAATGAGTAGAGTTGGTATAAGCTACACTCGTTTATCTTTATATAAATTATTTATATATTAAATAATATATAAATAATAATATAAATACATTATTTATATATTAAATGATATAAATAATATTTTTTATTTAAATAATATAAATAATATTTTTAAAAATTATCGTGCCAAGCCAAGCTGAGCTTGAGCCCAATTCCACCTTAATATTTTTAACTGGTATTCTCGACCTACTCCTGTTGATCTTCAATTTGAAGAAATTAATCTTAATAATTTCTGCTAAAAAATTATACAAATGGAATATTGATGGTCTTAGTGAAGATCAAATTCTCCAACAGTTAAATCATTTATCTATGGTCTCCAACAGTTATCTCTCCAATTATCCCCAATATACTCAACCTGAAATTGCTACACTAATTACTTCTGGTTTTATTGGTATGCTCAAATCCTGGTAGGAAAAATATTTAACTGAAGAGCAACGCGAATCTGTAATTTATGCTAATCAAACTGATGATAATAGTTTACCTATCTTTGATGAAACTATTGGATGTTGCCACCCTGATGGTATTAATACTTTAATTTATACAATTGTTAGACATTTTATTGGAACCCCAACTAATATCTATTCTCACATACATGATCAACTTAGTAATCTCACCTGTCCAACCTTAAGTGATTTTAGATGGTATAAAGATGTATTTACCTCTAGAGTTATGTTAAGAGAAGACTGTACTAAATCATTTTGGAAAGAAAAATTTATTAATGGATTACCTAGTTTATTTGCTCACAAAATTAGAGACGTCCTTAGCCAACCTATAGGTGTTATTGAATATGATAATTTAACCTATGGCGATATAATTAGTACTATTCAAAAAGAAGGACTAAAAATGTGTCTTGATCTTAAACTTAGTCAAAAAGCCACTAAAGATAAACACAAAGCTAAATATGAATTAGAAAATTTCTGTGAACAATATGGTTTACCTCCTGTAGCACCCTCTCGTAGGAAATCACATAAATATTCTAAGCATAAATATAAATCCAAATATTCTAATAAATACAAAACGAATTATTCACCATCCAAATCCAATGATAAATTTTATACTAAACCCAAAAAGAAATATTACAAAAAATCACATCCAAAATCTAAATCTAATAAAGATATAACATATTATAACTGTGGTAAAAAATGTCATTATTCTAATAAATGCAAAGAAAAACAAAAATTAAAAGATAAGATTAACCAATTACAAATAAATGATGACTCTAAGAATTAAATATTTGAAATCTTTCAATTAAACCAATATGTTAGCAATTCCTCTTCTAATAATCCAGAAACTTCTTCTGATGATCATTCACCTAGTGAAAGTTCTGATAACAATATTGGATTAGGATGTAATGATGTTTGTTGTAAACCAGTTAAATAAATCGCTGTTCTTACTAAACAAAATCAAGAAGAAACTGCCCTTATTGAATTAATTAGCCGTCTATAAGATCCAGAATTAAAACACAAATATATTAATAAATTAAAATCCTTATTAACTAATAAAAATACAAAACCTAAGTTTGATAAACCAATTATTAGTTTATCCAAAACCTTAGAAAGATTTAAAAACAAACAAAAAGAAGTTACACTACAAGATTTACAATATGAAATCAATCAGATTAAACAAAATATTAAAGAATTACAAAGTAAAGATAGAGCATTAGAAGATGAAATTATTACATTAAAACTTAATAAAAGTTTAGAAAATTTCCAAGACAACAATGCTGAATCTCCTAATGAATCTGAACATGAATCTGATGATCATACTAATCCTGATAATCTCTTGTTTGATGATCGATCACATCAATCTCAATCTCATAATCTTGACGATAAACGATTAAATCTTATTAATAAAATTCATATTAAAAAATGGTATTCAAAAGTTAAATTAGTTATTAATGATTTTGAATTAAATATTATTGCTTTAATTGATACTGGTACAGATCTTAATTGTATTCAAGAAGGATTACTCCCTACCAAATATTATGAAAAATGTCGTGAAAATTACAAAAAAGCTCATAAATTCTAGTCCTTTAACCAAAACAACACACCATATAGCTACTTCAATTACATTTGCAAACGAAGAAGCTAAGCTTGACAAAACCCAAATGGCTTCTTCTTCTTCTTCTCTGATTAGTTACACTTTCACTCTCTTCTTCAACTTAGCTCTATTCCTCCTCCTCCTCCTCTCAACCTTAAGCAAGACCAGTACCCAAGGAAGTTTCTCTGAGGAGGTCTCGGAAGCCATAGCTTTGAAGCGAATGGAGAAGACAACCCACCTCCATTTCTACTTCCACGACATCGTTAGTGGGAAGAACCCAACAGCAGTGAAAATTGCAGGAGCGGAAGATGGATCGGTGATGGGATTTGGGACAACTTTCATGATGAATGATCCGCTGACGGAAGGGCCAGAGAGCAACTCAAAGCTAGTGGGAAGAGCTCAAGGGATGTATGCATTGGCGTCAGAGAAGAACATACCAGAATTGCTGATGGTGGTGTATTATGAATTCGAACAAGGGATTTACAATGGGAGTAGCATAAGCATCCTTGGGAGGAACCCAGTGTACAATGATGTGAGGGAGATGCCGATTGTTGGAGGGAGTGGGGTTTTCAGGTTTGCTCGTGGTTACGCATTGGCACACACCATTTGGCTCGATGCAAAGACTGGAGATGCCACTGTTGAATACAATGTTTATGTTATTCACTCTTAGATGATACTATTATTCACTCTTAGATGATACTATTAGGCTGTGTTTGATTAAGGGATTTGGAAAGGAAAATGAAAATGAAAAAGATAGGTGTTTTTAAATTTTGAATGGTTTATATTTTATTTAGTTTCATTATTTAAATTTTAATAGATGTTTTATTTAATTTCATTATTTAATAATTATTATTTTTAAAATAAATTTATTTAAAATTTTAATTAAAAAAATAGCATATATTTTTATTGATATTTAATTTATTTAATTTTTTAAAAATAAAATTATTTAATTGTGTAAAAAATAGAATAAAATAAATTTTTATTTAATCTAGTTAAAAATAATTAAAATATTAAAGATATGTTTAATATTGCTATTACTTAATAAATAATTAAAAAGGTAAAATAGTCATTTGAACATTTATTCTTCTTCATAATATCCCAAACAAACATAGGATTCATATTTTATCCAACCAAATAGTCATTTCCTGACATCTAATCACATGACTAAACAAACATAGGATACACATCCAGTCCAACCAAATAATCCGGAGATAATATATCCTAGGACTAACAGTCCGATAGATTCCAATCCCTCCTTATCCAATTCGTCTAAACAAATACACCCTATTGTACTATTTTTTCCACTAATTCGCAAAGCATTTTATGGATAACATAATTTAAATAAATCACGAACGAACTTGTGACGTAGGGATATTTTGGGAAGATGGTTAAACGCTATTTTTTGACTTTTTCGTGGGGAAATTCTATTTCCACACTATTTTATCTCTATATACATAATTTCTCAATAGACACACTTATGAAATTGGTTTTATATTTTTGTTCTCAGTTCACACATCACATTTTCCAATTATACCCTAAACTAACGTCTTTGTACACACACCACCTAAATCATTTGTTCCACAGTGTAGACACATTTTCTATTTCATTCACCTTGAAGACACAGCAACATCAAACTCCATTGAAAAAGACCCATAGTGACTCCATTGAAGACCTATTGCATTGTTGAAAGTGAGAATCTCCCTCCTGTTTCGTTTTTCGTCTATCTGCACTCTTTTGACAACTCTATTGAAAACTTACAACTCCATCTATATCTGATTTTTCATAAATCCTTGTTTTTTGCTAGAAAAAATTCGATTTTGCTCATTTGGTACTAGTTAGTTGAATGAAAAAAGTTTATTCGATTTTTAACTTTCGAAACACATGAAGTTGAGTTTCAAATTTGGTTTTCAGAACTTGATTTTTGAATAGAATCAATAATTTTGGGAATTGATATCAGAAAAAAAGTAGGCTATGATGGCTAAATTTTGGTATGAAATGATCATACTAGGTCTTGGATTCGAGTTCGTAGACTATGCCCTTCACCAACTGAACACTGATCTTTCATTGAAGTTGTTTCTTGACTTCCATCTATATTGAAAATATGGAGTTCTTATTGTGTGGACTAAACTCTTTTTGGCTAATCCAAACACAATAAGAAGAAGACGAAACTGTTTGTCTTAGATTTGCAAACACTTGAGGAAACTATTGAAAACTACAGGGTCATGTATTGATATGAAAGTTTGTGACTTTTTCATAGATTAGTCGTTGCGTTGGCTTTGAAACTTGTAAGTACACACACTAGAAATTTAATAATCCTTTCACTTTATTTAAAGTAAGAAGCAATGGAGGAAGTAAGAAATAATGACGAAATTAGGGTTTATTTTTATTTATTTTTTTTACTTAAAAGATATGTACTGAGATTTTTTTTTTTATTTTAAAATGATGTTTAGAGAGAAAATTTTGATTTAATATTATGGGTGTGTTTTGATATCCATTAGGGTCATTTTACTCTAGGATATAATTGTTATTAAAATAATATTTCATTAAGTGTGTGTACTGAGATAAGTAAGTGTGTGGAAATAGAATTTATCTTTTTTGTGAGAGGAAAGTGGGTTAAAAGTTGGGATAATTCTATTTCCACACACCAAAACATCTCGTTCCACATTTTCTGTCAATACACACCAACTAATTTTGAATTTTGTGATTTTACTCAATGCACAATCTTTTTTGCTAAAATTATCCCTCTCTTTGACATTGAAACCCTAAACCAACACCCATTTGTAAGTGTTATTTCTTCTCCCCTACTTTAGTCTTGAGAAGAATTTTCATTTGTAGGTGTTGTTTCTTCTCCCCTGTAAGTGTTGTTTTCTGCATTGCAATGAGTATTCCTGGTATTATTTTCTTTATTTCAACACATTATTTATGTGGGCTGCTTGACCAATTTCATGTCATTTCTACATTTGTCATGCACTAGGTGTCTTGGAAGCCAATTTTGTTGAACCAACTCACGATAAACAGAGCTTTGAGCGAACAACTGAACAACTGCACTGGCTTGAGGCAAAGATTAGTTGTGAAGCAGAAGAGTTACTGGTCTGTTTGTTTATTTATATATCTATTTCATTTTCCTCCATCTATAGGTTTCATTAGTGTGGCTGAGTTAGGAGATGGAGATCAGTGTGGCTGCCATGGATTCTGAGCTTTGGACGATGAGAGGAGATGAAGAAATTAGGATTTTGGTGGAGAAGATAAGGACACTTTAGTAATTTATTTTAGGATAAAATTGTAATAAAAAAATAAATCATTAAATGTGTGTATAGAGATAGGTAAATGTGTGAAAATAGAATTTTCCATTTAAGCGTGTAGACTTCTGGACAAATAAAATATAAATTTGAATTTATGGGCGGAACGCCCTTTAAACTATTCATGCATATTGTATATAATTATATATATATATATATATATATTGAGAGGGAGTTTTTATGTGCATTAGGGCTGAGCTAGGCCAAGGTGCGGTAATGGGGCCGTAGTAAAAAAGGCTGAGTAAAAGGGCCTTGTAGTTAGCTCGGTCCAAAAAGGGCTTTGTAGTTAGCTCGGTCACCCCGGTCGGAGTGGTAATTAGCTCGGCCGGTGTTTGAAACCGAGGTATTATGGCTTCTTACGATGGACCTTGCTCTAGTTAGCGCAGTCAGAACTTGCTGTAGATAACTCGGTCTCAATGGACAAAATCGAGGTATGAGAGAACAAGAGCCGAGCTATGAGTTGCAAGTGAAGACGTTGGATTAAGTACGACAAAGGGCAAGTGTAAACTCGGTTGTACTATCATCCAATCGTGGTAAAACCATCTCACCTGATTTAAGCAGTGAGGGGGGTGTTGAAGGATAAGCATTATCTTTTAGGAGTGTGATTCCTATGAGGACTCTACATGGAGAAATAAGAGTCCTACTAGGATTGTGCCAGGAAAAAACCATAAAAGCTCACAACAGAACCTGTAGAGAGGTAACGCAACTTTGATTCTCGAATACACAGAGCTTTTATCTATTTGTCTATTTTGCTGACTTAGGCATCGAAGAGGTATCCGGCATACACCCACCGGCTAGCTCACGTTTGTATTTTCAGGGGGTAAAGCGATGGCGTTTGGAGGAGCGCAGACTTGATCAACAGGATTATACGAGAACATTATTTCTTGCTCATACAAATTTATATATTTATATATATAATTTTGTTTCAGGTTGCTCAAGTTATGTGGTATCTCTATCCAAATCCACTAAAATTTAATTTTAATTTTTGAATTTTTGTATAGGTCCTCGTCGAATTAAAAACCGTGTTACCCAAATTTCATGCTCAACTTGAGTTACTTGGGTTGAGCTCACCCAAGTTTGTAATTTTAGTAAGGGGTTAAAAGTTACATTACTAAATTTGTGACAAATTAAAAATTGATATATAAATTGTGGTAAAATTATGAGTTTTAATTTTTTTTGTTTGCATAATTTACATACAAAAATCTAACTATTTTTATATTATTTTATATAAAAATATATTATTAATTTTTTTACATCTCGTGCATAGCATGACTTACCACTAATTATTGCATAAATTGGAAATAAATTTCTTTATTAGATTGAAATATAAAATACTTTCGAAAAATTTACCTATAAATTCCATCTTAAGGAATGGTGATCCATATAGTCGTAAAGATTTTTTTATAGACAAATTAGTCCCATTGATTTTAGAAAGATAGATTTAATATGTTATTTAAAAATTAAATTTACAGTTACAGCATTATTTCTATTATGTTTTCTTCTCTGTTTTTCTTTTGTTCTAGGAATGTAAGATACACAATCAATGATAATCAAATTTTGGATGAACTTTTATATGGAAATCTTTTTTATTTGGAAAACATTTTAAAAGGAGTACAAAAATAATTTAAAATATGAGATTCTTCAAACATTTCAAAATGAAGTGGGATTCTTCAAATATTTCAAAAGGAGTACAAAAACTCCTTAAGCTTTGGGCAAATGTATAATTTCAAACTGTAATACTCCAATCTAACATTGCAAAAAAAAATTCTTAGTGTACTTTTCCCAAACGTAACACTCTAATATAATATCAAAAAAACTCCTTGGTGTAACATTCCAATGTAACACACAAAAAATTTACTTAGTATACTTTTTTCAAACATAACACTCCAATGTATCATTTCAAAAAAAGGATGTGAGATTCTTCACACCATTTCAAAACGAGTACAAGAATTCCTTAATAACTTTTAAAATGTGAGTGTTGCGTTTGAAAAAAGTTCACTAAGAAATTTTTTAGTATTTTTGTGTGTTACATTAGAGTATGTTCAATTGGAGTGTTACGTTTGTGATTACATTGATTGGAGTGTTACATTTGAAAAAAGTAAAATACGGAGTTTTTTTTATGTATTATATTAGAGTGTTACATTTTAAAAAAAGTATACTAAGCAGTTTTTTTGGAGTGTTACGTTGTTCGTTCGGGAAAAGTATACCAATGAATTTTTTAATGTATTACATTGAAGTATTACGTTATTAAAGTGTTATATTGGAGTGTTACATTTTTTTTTTTTCGTAATGTGGGATTTGTTCTAAAATGAGAGAAAATTCAAAACCTCTATAGTGCGGATTGCTAAAATGTGTAATTTTCTATTTGGAGAAACTCACTTTTATTCCTAATTAAACCAAAATATGTAAGTAACTATCCTTTTGTTTAATTTTCACTTTAATGTGACCTTTAGGT